GCCAGACCTCAGATGACGGGGGTTGAACAGGGTGTCTAAACAGCCCCCAGAGTTCCCTGTGCTCGAGTGTGTGGTGGGAGCTGTGGAATGATGACCATGAGCCCCAGAGGGGGCCACAGGCCTCAGCAGGGACTTTTGCCAGCCCCCTGAAGTTCCTTGAGGCCCACAAGGTACCGGAGCAATTGAGGGAGCCCTGAGTGTTCAAAACAGAGAAAGGGCCAGACCCACAGAGGCCTCAGGATGGGGATCAAAGGAGCAAGTGGTGGGAAGGCAGGAGGTGGGGGAAGATGACCAAAAGGTCCAATGCTAACCTAGGACCATGGTGGGCACCACAGGCCTAGTGCCAGGGTCCGGGAGCTCTGCAAGAACCCACAACAACATTGGCAGCCAAGGGAAAAAAAAAGTAGCAGAACACTAAAAGAAAAGGCAAAAGAAAGAAAGGAAAAAGACAAAATCAAAATTAATAAAGTTTAATTGAATATCTACAAGACATTGTCAAGTAATAAACCGAACCCACTCAAATTGGTATATGTGATTTATCCTTAATGTGGAATCAGGCACATTTCATGTGTGTGATAGGATGTGGGATTCAGCCTCTAAAATTCAAAGTGCCAGGGGCCTGCCTATGGTCTTCAAATGGAGCATCTCCAAAACTTATATGCATCCCTGGGGAAAGGAGGGGTCCCCACATTGATTTCAGATTACTTTTCTACCATGTTGGTGAGTGAGAAAGCAAAAGAGAAATTCAGGTCAGTTACAGAGAAATGAAGCGATGTTCCTCACACATGGTCATTTGTAAATGGAGATCGTGAGTCACTGCAGATGCCACTGTGCAATGCTGTCTTCAGCCTCTTCATCCCTCGGGGGCTGGTGGGACTCACCCTACTCTCAAAGCCCCCTCACGTTTCAGCAGTTGGTTTGCCAGCCTCCCGTTCTTTCTCACCTCTGGAGCTGAGATCTGCCACCCCCTTCCTTCGGACCTACATGAGTTAATCACGTGACTTTAAGGAATGCAGCCAGAGAGCTGGGTTTGAGTCCAGCCCCACCTTGGCCTCACTGTGTGATCCTAGGCAGGTCCCGTCATCCCTCTGGCCAAGTCTCCGTCTCTCCATCTGTGAACTGGAATAATGATACCTACCAGGGCTGCTGTGCAGATCAAGGAGGCCACAGCTATATGAAACACTGCTTTTTAAACAGACTGGACTGCATTTGGGGTTTGACTAACAAAACGAAAACAAAGGAGAAAAGGTACATGTTAAACTATGTTGAACCCCAGAGTGGGGTTTCACAGTCACCCCTTCTGAGCTATGTCTAGGGGAGGTGAATTTTTATTTTTCCCCATGGTCTTTTTGCCACAGCTCACTGAGTCCTGCCAGTGGAAAGAGGTAGTGGCCTGAGCTGGTGGGGAAGCAGGTTGGGGTGGGTGGGGAGCCGAGCAGGCTTGGCTCCTGGAGGCCTGAGTCAGCGGACAGGCAGGCAGGGCGGGCCCAGTCCTCGCATGCTTGGGGAGGAGATGGTGCAGGAATGTTCCTCCCGCCCAGGACTGGGCCCTGCCCACCACATCCTGGCTCCTGCTCGCGTGGACACTGCAGCCTCAGCTCTGCCTCAGAGATGGGAGATGCTTGGAGCTTTGTTGGGTGGGTTCAGCCAGGGGCCTTCAGAGGCAGCCTCGCCCAGGAGTGGGCAAGGCCAGGCCACAAAGCCTACCAGGAGGTGGGCTCTGGTCCCGGAGCATCCCCCTGCCCCACTGGGTGATGTGACCAGCTGCCACCCCTCACTAGACCTCAAGTTCCCATCTATGCAATGAAGAATTGAACTTGGTGGTGTCAGACGATGGATGGTCCTGGCTGGCTCCCCCAGGAGGTGGTGCAGTCCAGGTGCAGCTACATGTGTGTAACACCTTTGCTATATGCATGTGTGATTTTGTGGTCATGTATGTCTGAGTGTGTGTGTGTGTCACTGTGTGAGGATATAACTGTGTGCACGGGATCGGGGTATGGCTGTGATGACGTGGCTGAGGCTAATGCTGTGAACAGATGACAACACATGTGTGGACGTGCCTGAGTGTATGACCATGTATACATGTGTGGCCAGGTGTGGCCTATGTGCCTGTGGGCAGGTTGTGTGGCTGTGTGGCTGTGTCTGCGTCTGCTTTGGGTTGGGCAACTGCATCTGTGACCATGTGGATGACAGTGTGGCTGTGCCATGAGATGGAGGGGTGGTGCTGAGGTGAGCCCAGGGCTACCTGCCTCCCCCAGGCCTGGCTCTGCTCCAGCCATGGCAGAGCAGTGCCACAGCCATGGCACAGTGGTTCATGGCCCTCCTGTGTCCAGAAGGCACCAGGATGCGAGATCTGAGGGCTGCCTCCATCCCCAACCCCCACATGTGGCCACAAAGCAGACTCCTTTCCTAGGCTGGGCCAAGACTGGGGATCAGAGGTCCCCCGCCCCCATCCCAGGTCCTTGTAGCTGCCCAGGGCGGAAAGAGAGGCCTTGTTTTCCACCCCCCTCAGAGCAAAGTGAGGGAGGGAACTGGAGGCAGCTGGGCCCAGCTCAGTCTGGAACATCTGCCTGGCATGTGACTGAGGCCAGCCAGTAGGCCCTGCCACCACCAGGATGCCCCCCCCACGAGTCCCCCAGTCTCCTGCTGAAAGGGGCTCCAGCCAGCGCAGACTAATCTCAAATTCCAACACCCCAACCCACACAGAGATAGAAAGAAACCAGAGAGAGGGGCTGTGACATCCTCACTCCCCACCACACATACGCCTGTGCCAGCCTAGAGACCTCACGATGCCTGCAGGAGGCCTGACCCATCCCAAGACATCACATTCTGATTCTTCCAAGCCCCCCTGAGAAAAGTGTCAGACCGACTCCCTCACCCTGTGGATGGGAGGCGTGGGAGGTGGCCCTTCTCTCAAGGAAGGCGCACAAGAGGATAATACTGTTCCCAGGGCAGGAAGCATGAACAGGGGACTTTCCAGGCACTGTGGGTTAGGAAGAGCATTCCCACCACCCCTACGCAGACTGGCCTCGGGAAGACCTCCCCCTGTGGGCAGGGTGCCCTGTGCAGAAGGCCACCTGGAGGTCAAAGCCAAGAAGAGGTTAAGGGCAGGAAGGTCCCCGAGTGGGTTGGAAAATGAAGGAAGGAGGGCAGGGAGGAGGGAGGGGAAAATTCCACAGAAAGTCCCAAATCTGACCTAAATTCAGGGCCAGAGGACCATTCCAGAAGTTCCTCTGAGGACGCTCTGCCCTGAATGGGGAGCCTTTGCTGCCCCTTACCCACTGCACCTGCCACTCCTTATCCCGTCTTACTGCCGTGAGTCCCCTGGGCCCCTGGCCTGGCCAAAGCCTCCTGATGCCCGGACTCCGGCAGACCTCCCTCCTCCAAGTCCCCACTGCCCCAAAAGAGAACTGTGGTTTCACCAACATACCTCTGTCCTTCATGTGAACAGATTCCCATTCATCCTGACTGGGGCACCCCCAAGGGCACAGCTAGGGGTCCTCCTCTGTTTCCCACTTGGAAGCCACTGCAGGGCTGGGCACTCAGGACAGCTTGGGAAAGGATACAGTTTCTGAGCCCCACCCCCACCCCCCTGGACTGGGCTTTCCTGGGGGCAAGGTGGGGACATGGCTCCCTGGGGAGAGGAACCCCCTGTGGATTAGACTGTCCTGGGCACGGCCTCCTATCCCTTCCTCATGCGACCCTCAGGCCTAGATCACTAGCTCCGGGAGCAGCACAGCCAACCACCCCGCAGGACTCCACCCACTAGAGAGATGAGGCTGTGAGGTCTGGGAAGGGTGTGCATCCAGCTGGGGCCCATGGCCACCTCTAGCTCCCCAGCTAGCACCTCCCACCAGCACAGCCCTCCCCCCAACTTTTGAGGTTCTGGGGTAAATTCTGTGTCCACCATGATCTCAGAATCTGGTCCAGTAGCTCCCAGGGACAATTAGGGTTCTATCCTTCCCCCATCCTCATCCCCTCCAGACCGAAACAAAAAAGTCATGCTTTTGTTATCTTAATTGTAAAAGATTTATCAAGAAAACAAGAAAGAAAGAAAAAAAGATTCAAGCAGCAGCAGCCAGGCACAGCCATGACCTCCTGGGGGGCCAGCGGTGGCACCTGTCAGTTCCCCCACCCGGCTGCTGGACCACGCCCTGGCCAGGGGGGAGGGAGTAGCCCCCTCAAGGATGTAAACATGGGTGAGAAACAGCACAATCCAACCAGGACCTGGTTGGCATCACAGTGCAGCTGACCGTGGGCAGATGGCCCAGGATCCCTGGGGTGGTGGGTGTGTTGGCCCTGTCTTTTTCCCGTTGGATTTCCCACCGTGCAACAGGAAGGATGCTGGGGTTAACAGGGGCCGGGACCCTGGGAACCTGGGGTCCGAGCCTGCTCGGAGTGTGGGAAACTATTGCTGGTGAACTCAAATATCTGGTAACTTTTGGGTGTCCCCTCCAGGAAGGTGCCACCAGGGTCCTGGGCTCCATGGCTTGTCTCAGCACCTTGAGCCCAGGGAAAAGATGCTGCATGGTCCCCTAACCAAAGGGCAGTGGGGCTCAGCAGGTGGAGGGGAGTCAGGAGGGAGTTGGCCTGCAGCCCCTCCTGCAGAGGGCAGGGGTGGGGCAGGGACAGGGACATGGGAGCAAAGAAGATCGCTCCCCTCTGTCACACAGGCCAGAATCCCCACCGAGGTGGCCCCAAACTTGCTTGGGAAAGGTAAGGGAGAGAAGAGGGGTGTCTTCATGTCTCCATCTTAGCTATGCTGTTCCTCTCTTCCGAATGTCCTCCTATCTACTGTCCCCATTTACTGTCTGATAAGTTCTTGTCATTCTTCAAGACACTACTCAAATGTCACCTACTCCCTGGAGTCTTCCCTGACCAGCTGAATGAGTGGTCCCTTCTGTGAGCTTCCAGGAACCCCTTATTTACCATCGGCCATTCTTCATGGCCCCTGGCTGTTTCATGTCTGACCTCCGCCTTGACTGGGGACTCCCCGAGGGCAGGCGTGTTGCAGCCCTGGTGCCCGGGATCTGACCTGGGGCGGCAGCAGGCCCCGGTGTCTGCTGAATGAATGAGGGCGGGTGGCCAGGTGAGTGAGTGCTGTAGGCTCTAGGGGAGGCTAAGACCCTGGCCTGGCCTCAAGTGACTGACCAGCAGCCCAGGCCTCAGCCTAGAGGGTTCCTGGCCCCATTCTCACCCCTGTTGTGCCCCCACCTCTAAGGGGTGGAGACTTCCCCACGGGTACCCATCACTCCTCCAAAGCCCACCCCCAAGCCCCTCAGACACTGCTGGGGCGGGATGTCTGGAGAGCAGAGTGGACTGCAGCGACCAGGCCCAGGGGCGGGGAGGGGCCAGGTGCACGGGGTCAGAGGTTGTCGTACATGCGCAGCGTCTTCTCCAGCTGCTGCGCTACCCGCTGGTAGAAGAGGATCTGCTGGCGCAGGTAGTTCTGCATCATGTGCTTGAAGTCGAGCTCACGGCGCTGGTGGAAGTGGTTCATCTCGGCCTGCAGGGCGAAGCCCACCACGCGGCAGCGCCTGCGAATGCCATCTGCCTCGTCCTGAGCCATGCGGCCCTCGTCACTCATGCGTTGGCTCTCTTTCACCTTGGCGAAGGCACCTGGCACAGGTAGAGTGGAGAACAAGGGAGGTTAGGGCTCTGGTCTCCCCCATTTGCTCCCTATACCATCTGTGAGCCCCCCTCAAGGGCAGATGACACCCTCATCAGCTCGACTCAGACCTCGCTCCCAGACTCCAGACTGACGGTTCAGCCACCTGGGTGTCTCCACTGGCTGTCCCCCAAACTCCCACCTTCAGCACATCTTCCCTCCATACATGTGGCACCGCCAGCAGCCCACAGGGGACCAGTCATAGCCCTGCTAGCTGTATTTATTTCCAAGACCAGGCTGTCCCTACCCACCACAGGCCTCATCATCTCTGACACTGGCTCCTAATTCGGCTCAGACATCACCCCCTCCAGGAAGCCTTCCCTGAGTCCCCACTGCATTAGGTGCCTCCCAATGCTCCCAAGTGCCTTGGGCTTCCCTCTAGCACAGCTCTCACCACCCAGCGGTTTCTCTGACTTTCTCCCTCGGGGCTGTGAGCTCAATGTCTCTAGCACTCAGAACAAGGCCTGCCCACAGCAGACCCTGACACATGTCTGCTGAACTGACTCAACCAGTTCCTCACTGGACTGCTACAAGAGTCCCCCACGGGTCTCCCACCTCGGTCCCAGCCTCTGAGAGGCTCTCCACAGCACCTGAAGAGCAGGTGAGCTGGGCACCCATCACTCCAAGCCTTCCCTGGCTCCCTACTGCCTGCAGATCAAGGTCTACACCCATGCACCTGGCCCCTGAGGCCCTCTGGAAATTGGCCCTGCACCCATTCCACACTGACCCCAGGCTCTTTCCTACCTTTATCTCTGCCCGCTGGATCCTGATGCATAATTCAAGGCCCTGATCAGGTGCCACTTCTACACTGGAGCCTCCCGCAGTGTCCCCCGGCAGAATGCCTCTCCCATCTCACCTCTCCCCACCCCCATCACACTGCTGATTCTAAAACAGCGCCTCAAAGGCCACCTGGAGTTTTCCTTTGTGTGTGTCTCCCCCACAGACAGGCCCTGGCCCCTCCTCACCCCAGCCTCCAGGGGACTAGAGGAGGCCATTGGAATAACCAGGTAACAGATGGGGGCGGGGGGATGAACCTGGGCAGGGGACCCAATTTGGAAGAATCTGAGTGAATCAATAAGCAGTTGGTGAGTGAATCTCGGTTCTGAATTAACAGGCACTTGACTAATCCTGCACTGAAGCCAGTGGGGCCGTGCTGGGAGGAGGAGGCAGGTGGCCTGTGCCTGGCACTCGTTCCTCCCAGGGCTGTAGGAATCACCGTGCAGAGAAGAGTCAGGAGGTAGGAAGGGTGGGCATGGAGGAGAGCACACTGCTGGAGCACTTCAAAGTAACCACCGCACACAAACAGCACACTCATTATCGATGCTCCCACTTCTTTAAGGAGGCCTCTGAGGGTATTCTTTTTACTCTCACTCAAGTTGTCCGATGCATTCAAGGTGCATTTATTGAGCATTTACTATCTGCCAGGCCCGGGGCTCTATATGCTGGAATAACTCTGGATGCCTTCAGAAGGAGCAGCATCCATGTTACCTGGCAAGTCCGTGGCTAATTGGCTAAAAGTGGCATTTCTGGCAAACAGACTCAGTTTGGAGAGTCTCCATGGCTGCTCACACACAGGACCCAAAAAACTCTACAGTCTCCAGCTCCCAGTCCATTCAGTCCTTCCTCCACCTTCCCTGAACCACCTCCTACCTCCTGCCCCATCCCGACTGCCCAGGCCTGGGCAGCAGAAGACAGATCACCCCACAACCCAGGATGAAGACCCAATAAGAGCCTTCAGAGCTGGAGAGGCCCTAAAGGCCAGCTGTCCAACCCCCACCTCTACCCCACGACTGTGTAGGGGAAACTGAGGCCCCAAGGGGGAGGGACTTGCCCAGGGGTTCCTAGCTTCATTCCTGCCCCATAAGTGGGAGATGCCTGGCCCAGAGGTATCCCCCGACAGCTGGAGAGTGGACACCACTTCTACTGCAGGGACCCCAGGTTGAGTCTTCCAGGCATTTGTGTGGGGTCCCCCAAAAATGGACTCGGGGATCTGAGAAGGTTCCAAGGAGTAGGAAGGACCATAAGAAAGAAGGTAGAAAACAGCAAGACAAAGAAACTGGAGTTAAGCTTTAGCAAAAGGAACCTACTAGAAGGCAAGACACTGAACTAGCCTGGATTTCACCTGCCTAAAAAGTCTGGGTGCAGGAAGGGTAGACCTGTACTCAAGAGGGCTTTTCTTGCCCATGGCCTTGGAGGAAGGAAAGGCCCCTTTTGTTGATGAGGAGACTGAGGCCCAAATAATAGGAATGAATCTATTGCAATTGCTAGGTATCCACAGACAGGCAGGGAGCCAGGGAGGGGGAGCAGAGGCCACAGGGGTGAGGGGGAGGTGAAAGCCCCACCCTGCTCTCTGTCACCTCTCGACCTTGTGACTCAAATCTGGGGCCAGGACCAGCTAACACCAATGTGCCCCAGCAACCCGCTGGAAGTCAGGGTTCAGCCCTGTCCAGCATCTCCTCAACATTCCTCTTAGGACTCAACCTGAGTGCTGAGGACCCAGGGGAGCCTCCTGCCCTGGCAGTTGTCCCATGGGCTGGGTCCCAGGAATGGGGAAAGGAGGGTTGGAGCCTCAGAGCTCCAGGGTCCCAGACATTCCCTAAGCTCCCACCTAATCCCTCTTGTCCCCACCTCTTGGAGGGAGTTACCACCACCCCAGGTTGGAGACAGGAGGTCGGAGTCCTAGTCCCAGCTGTGTCACTTCCAGCAAGCCACTGCTCTCGCCTGGGCTGCAGGTCTCCCCACTGTCAAATGGAACAGGTGGGACTAGATGTGATGCTGTTCACAACTGCTCACAGCGGTACAGTGCTTCAGTTTCCACATCTGTAAAATGGGATCATAATAGCACTTGCCCGATAGTATAGTTGAGGTTTAAATGAACTAATACGTATAAAGTACTTAGGACTGACATAAAATAAGAGCTCAAGATGGTACGTGCAACTGTGTGCGAACTCCTTTTCTGTCACAGCAAAAACCAGCTGGTGGTCACTTGTGGCGATACGATTCTCTTTGTTTATGGAAGCCCAGGAGGGGAGGTCGAGGGAGGGTTAGCTGATGGCCCAGAACACAGAGGCTGGACCCACCTGTCCCCCAGGCAAGAGCTTGGTCCTGCAAGGGCCACTTTGCCTTGGCCAACCTGTGAGTTCCATGGCCCCTCCATGCATGCTCTGTGGTCCTGGGCTTGCCTCCAGCCCACCAAGGATGGCAGCAGAGTGAGTGCTAGAGCCCCAAGCCTCCCTCCCTCCTCCTTCCCCTTCTGGCTCATCTACCGCAGGTGGCCATCTCTTGGGGAGCTCCTTCCCCCGTCTGTCCGGCACAGTGGAAACAGCCTGGGCTGTGGGGTCAGATACACCTGGCTCCAGTTCCTGCTCTGCATATCATCCCACCTCACCGCGCCTCGTCTGTACAATGGAGGGGACCATACTGACCTCCCTGGCTTATGACGAGCCTTAGGACAGAGCCCAGCCCTGGCTGGCTCTCAGGTAGGGGACCACAGGACCCAGCTTGCCCTGTTGTCCCAGGGTAACTATTACTAGGGCCCCCTTTCACCCCCAAACTGCCCTGGCATGGACAGCTAACTATAGGGTTGCCCTTCTCTTAGGAGACCCCTGGACTGAGCTCCAGGGGCTGAGCCAGCAGGAAGATGGGCTGGTGGGCGTCATCTCAGCGCCGACCACACTCCACATCCCATTCTACTAACGTGGACATGGAGAGGAGAAAACTCTTTCAAGGTCACCTCAGAGGCAACGTTTGTCCAAATCCTGGTCTCCTGACCCTGCGTAGGCCTTCCGTCTCCTTCCTTTCATGGCCTCTCTCATACACTCGCCATCCGTTCAGATGTCCGGACAAGCTGGAAAGAATCCAGGGACCCAGGATCCAACTTTCCTGCTCCTTCCTCTGAGAAAGGGATCCACCTACAGGGCCACCATGGGACCCCTCCTCCCCCAAGCCCCCTCCCTAACTCACCCGACCACAGGCCTGGGAGTGGCAATGCAGAGCCCAGACAAGGAAGAGTAAGCCCAGAAGGGCTTGGCCTATTGGGGAGGAGTCCTCCGGGGGAGGGAAGGTAGGTCGGCCTCTGTCTGAGGTTGAATGCATCACCCAGAGGACTGTTGGCCCCTCACTCTTAGAAACACCTCCAGTGGAGACTCAGAAATGGCCTCCCTCAACTCTGTCTCCCTGCCCCGGAGTCAGAAAGTCCAGTCTGGCTCCACTCCCTCCTGCTTCAATGTGAGCCTGGGAGCCCTGGGTATGGGGTTGCCTTCCTGCCCCAGCTCTGCCCTGGGTGAGTGTCCCCAGGCACTGCATGGGGACAGCTGTTTAATCACTGTGCCCTGCTGCCCTCGTCCCCCTGCCCACACAGGAACATGCCATCCAAGGAGCTGGTTGAACCAGCTTCCCAGGCCCTAGCACAGCAGTGCGCGTGGCTCTACTTCCGCACAAGGAGACACCTGCCCCAGTGGGCCCGAGCCAGCCCCAGGCCACCTCCCCTGCCCTATCCCTGCCCCAGAGCTCAGAGTCAGCTCTAAGGTATCACTCTATCCTCGACCAGACCCTCCCCAGGAGTACCATGTCCACCCCCCCCCACCTTTGAGGGCCTAAGAGCTCACTGCTCCACCCTCCCAGTTTTATTGACCAAAAAACTAAGGCCCAGAGAGGGGAAGGCACTTCCCAGAGACACACAGCAAATCGGGGGCAGAGCCAAGACTAGAACTCAGGCCTCTGGTCTCCTGAAGCTGAAAGAAGAGGGAAGGAGGAGGAGAGGAATGTGGAGATGAGAAAAAAAAGGGCAGAGAAGAGAAAGAGGAAGAGAAAGTGAGGGGAGAAAGGAGGCTGGGAGCTGGAGAAGGTCTAGAAGTCAACTCCTGGTAAAGGAGAGCCAGGGCTGGTTACTCCAGACTCTTCTGGGTACTGAGGTAGGGGGTGGCGTTTGCTGTCCCCCAGGCTCAGTCCAAAGGCCTGCCTCCTGGTCCCCCCCAGAGGAAAATCTCCCCACCAAGCCAGGCCTGACCTCAGGGCCTAGAGGCCAGGGAGCCGGCCCCACGCCCTGCGGACGTTCTTCCTGAGTTACCAAGCAGCCCCAGGGAGAACCACACCTCTCTCCTGACATCTGCCCTGCCTGTTGTCCCCAGGACTGAGCCACCTGCCCGGTCAGCCACTGAGTCACTGCTCAGGCAAGAAAATAAGTCAGGCTCGGGAAAGGGGAGTCAGATGGGCCATGCGGGTAGTGCTCTGGACCCCTGGTTCCTCCCCCAGCCCAGCCCGGGTGCCCCTAGGTGACCCGGGATGAGTCACTTCCCTGGCAGTTCCTTGACAGCCCCACAGTAACAGAGGGGGGCCCATCCTGTCCCTCCCCCAAGGAGGGGGCCGTGAGAACTGAAAACACGGCTGGCCTTGGGAGGCGGCCAACATGGATGTGTCCTTGGGGAGGTGCAGGAGGAAAGGTCATTCCTAGCTGGGCCACGGACTCCCTGTGCAACGACCCTTCTGTGAACACCAGCTTCTTCATCTGCACAATGGGGACAGCGACCCTCCCGCACACGGATAGGGAGCTCACAGATAGGATATGCAGCAGTGAGACCAGACTTCGAAGCTGCAAAGGCAGGGAGGGGAGCTTGTGAGGAGTGGGAAGACAGGCCACACTCTGTGCTCTTGTTATCTGGGTCTGTGTCCAGGTCCCTCATGAGCCTGTGGGCTCCTCAAGGGCAAGGCCTGGGCCCTGCTTATCTCCATGTCCCCAGACCCAGCCTGATACCTTGAAGGCTCAGAGCATGATGGGTAAATGAGTAAATGAGACAGAAACAGAGAAAATGAATGAATGAATGAACAAACAGACAACAAGAAGGTAAACAGCGAGCTCTATGAGGACAGGGACCAGACCTATCCACAGTAATATCCCTGCACCCACCACATAGGAGGTGCTCAACCCACTTGTGGAATGAATGAATGATACAGAGACGGAAAGACCAGACGAGCCGCTCTGTTCTGTCCAGGCCATTCTCAGATCCCCAGTGCCCAGCAGAGTGCAGACTCAGTAAGGGTCTCCTGCCTGCACTGAGTCTTACCTTTCTGCAGGTGGATGATGTCGGGGAAGTTGGAGAGCAGGCCCTGGTAGAGAGACAGTGTGTCAAGCATCTGGAAGAGGTCGTTCTTGGGCTGCTCAGCGAACATCTCACCCACGGCTTCATAGGTACGGCCCGTGTGAGAAATGGCGCTGTTGAGGGCTTCAGAGCTAAAGGGGGGATCCATCTGGAAGGAATGACTGATGGCCTGGAAGGCACTGCCGAGCTTCTGGAATTCCTTGCGGAAGCCCCCCACATGCTTGCGCACCAGCTCCGATGCTACAGTGCTGAGCTGCAGGACGCTGTCGTCCATCTTCTTGCTGAAGGCCTTGAAGGTATCCACACGGTCCTCCACATCCTGCAGGTCCTGGTGCTCCGTGGGGATCTGGAAGGTGAGCAGGAAGCTGGCACCCACCATCTCGTCCTTCTCTGCCCGGCGTTTGCCCATCTTCCACTGCTTGTCATCCAGGCAGCTGAGGAAATGCTGGAAGCCCTCATACTGGGACAGCACAGGGTGGCTGGTCATGTGGTCCATCCAGAGGATGAGCCGCCGCTTCCGCTTCTCAATGAAGTCCTCCTCGAAGCGGCCTGTGGCCTGCTTCTCTGGCAGGTGGGGCACCGAGATGACAGTGAACTTGTGCAGCAGGCGGTTGTAGAGCCAGTCAAAGTGTTTGTAGCGCCGGTAGACAGGTGAGCCAGCGTGGGTGGGCGTGAGCTTGTAGGAGATATAGCTTTTGATGCCCTTGAATTTGGTCTGTTTGGTGGGGTCTTCCACGGAGCAGGCAAATGGGTGGGGGTTGGCCTTCCACTGGGGGCCACGAGGGCCCATTTCAATGGAGTATGTCTCAGCAATCTTGGCCATCATGGGCACATCACCCAGGATGAAGGCCTCCACTCCAGAGCGCACGAAGCACGAGAAACGGTTAAGATTGCGCCCCACCACACTGCCTCGCTTGGCAGATGCCAGGCTGTCCTGCCGCTCCAGAGGTGGCTTTGGCCGGAAGGCCATGTGCTGGCTGGGGTAGGCACCAGGGTAGGAGAGGTTGAGTGGTGGGTGCCCATTGGTGCCCAGCCCACCAGCCCGTGGCTCCTCCACCACTGTGCATCCATCGTCCCAGTCATCCCAGTCATCATCATCGTCCTCCTCGAAGCTGCCTGGGTTTGAGAGGAAGCCACTGCCCCCACCACTCCTGGAAGGGTTGGCCACGCTGGAGCTGTCATACAAGCTCACCTGGGTGCCCAGAGAGCCTGCAGGGCTGCCGGAATAGTCAGCATGGTTGGAGCTGGTGCCAGAACGGATGATCTCCACGTAAGAGGCGGGGAAGAGCCCTGTCTCACCACGGCTGTTCTGACCCTGCAGCCAGCCATCCAGCGAGGTCTCACTGAAGATGACAAGGTCCTCATCCTGCTGGATGCTGATTTCCTCCTTGTTCTCACTGCGGAAGTCATAGAGGGCTCGGCCTTTCAGTGCCATGGCTGGGCCAGTGGTAGAGAAAGATGAGGAGAGGGTCCTGCCCAGAACTGGGGACACTCACTACGGTGTCCAAGAATGCACTAGCGACTCAAGGCCTGCCACAGCAACTCAGTCTCTCAGCCCCTTAGGCAGGGTCTCTGCACCCACAGATGCTGTCCAGCCTTCCTCTCTTCAAAACAATGTCCATGGCCCAGAAACTGCCCTTTCTGGTCTCCCAGCACACACATGTGAGCAGGGAGGGCTCATGTCCATAGTCTTTCTCCCTTCCCTTGGCAGCTCCTGGGGGGGATGTCTCTCTTTCTCCCACTCCCAGAAGAAAAGTCAAGTGACTGGGAGAAACCAGCTCAGAGAGGGCAAGAATTCACCACTCTCCACTGGAACAATGTTCTAAAATAGAAGAGAATCGCTCAGAAACCACCGTTCCAGAAATCCCAGCAGCTCTGGCTCCCAGCTCCTTCTGTCTCCTCAGGCCTTGGGAGGCTCTCACATTCCTCTGCAGATCTCCTCCTTCCTCCTTCCTCCTCCTCCTCTTGGGCCACTGGGTTTTCAGAAATCCAGAAAATCCAAGAGGGGCAAGGAGAAAAGCAGCAGCCTCCTGAATCGAGTCCAAGGGTGGATGTGTCCGGCTTCACAACAAGCCAGGCAGGGAAAACAAGGACTGAGGCTTACACAACAGGCCGCCAACTCTTCAACCCCGGCGGCCCAGCCCGGCCCCCAGCCGGCTGGGGCGCCCTCTCCCCGCCCCTCAAGTGGCCAGCCCCCACCTCTGAGACGGAGAGGGCGCGACGAGGCGCTCAGGCGACTTCTGGTCACTAGCTGCGTGGCCTCTTTTGTTTGCCTAATTCCCCAGCAGTGTCTGAGCCTGAAGCTGACCCTGATCGCAGTCCAAGGACCCCCGCCCAAAAGTAAACCCCGCAGTAACCGGTCCCGGCGCGCTGGACAAGCAGACCCCCACCCCTCGCGCGCACGCACACACTCAACAGGAGTTTGGAGAGTGAGCTCCCGCGAGCTGATGGCGCACCCGGCCGTCTGTCCTTCCGTCCTCCTCTCGGCCCCGCGGGGTCCAGCCAGTGGACGGCGAGCTGAGCCCCCAGCCCGCCTTCAACTCCAGCACTAGCAGTCCCTCTGCGCAGCCAGCGAGAAACCAGCTCCAAAACAAAAAAAGGCGATTCCGGGAGGTGGCGTCCCGAGGAAGGAGGGAATAGCTGAGGGGGGACGTGAGGGGTGGAGAGAGAGAGGGAGGGAGGAAAAGCAGGCTGGGGAATTGGGCAAACTCCACAGCACTTCCGTGCGTCCGGGCTGGGCTGGGACGGCCCGGCTCCGCCCTCCCGCGGGCCTGGGGCGCTGGAGCCGGGGCTCCCGCCTCCTCCTCGCTTCTGTCCTGGCCGTCGCCCTCACTCGCTCGCGCTGAGATCGGAATGCGAGAGGGAGGAGACGACCCGGGAAGTAGGGGCCCGCGGGCCTCCAGGACCAGTCCCTAGGGCGGCCGCACTCCCGAGCCCGTCCGGCCTCGCAGTGAGACATCTCTCGCCCCGAGGGGCTTGAGAGCCGCGCGGGGGAGCTCGCCAGCCGCCGCCGCCTAGCCTCCTGGACTCTGTCACTCTCCTGCCTTTTCCGTGACGCAAGTGGAGGAAAACTCGAAAGTTTGCAAAGTGTGGGGCTACCAGGAGGGCTCCAGAGCCGGGACCCGGGGGGAAGGGATTGAGGAAGGGTGGGTGGAGAGCCGCGGACGCCCCCCTACCCGTCCCCTTCTCCCCGCCCCCGCCCCCAGCGTGGCGCAGCCCGGGAATTGTTCGCTGGAGGGGGCCCCAGAGCCAGCTGCGCCCTCACCAGAAGAAGCCTGAGCGACCTGGGATACTGGCCTCTTCAGGTCCTAATACCCTGACCAGACAGGGCCAGGAGCACTCCCGCCCTGGGCGACTTCCTTCAGGGGGAAGGACAAGACCCTACATCTGTAGCGGCAGGGAACAAGCTCAGGCACGATCCAGTTCCATGTTGCTTTGTGCGGCTGGGGAGACTGGAAGTTCTGTCTTCGCCAGCAGCAGCGAGGAGAAAGGGGTGGTTGGGGTAGGCTTCCGAGAGGAGGCGAAGGGGATTTGACCCTTAGTCAGCCTATCCGGAACACCGGGCGTTAACTTTGGCAGGCACTGTGCTGGGCACTGGGGATTACTGCACAACAAGGCAGTCCGGGTTCCTGCCCTGGAGAGTTTACAATCCGCCCTCTTGTCCTTAATTCATCCGTTGTCTCCGTCTTATTCATTAAATCATGCACTCAAGGAAACATTAACTGAGTAACTATTCCGTACCAGGCCCCCTGGGCTACAAACACAAATAAGACATTATCCTTCCAGCAGCTCAGATGTGTTGACAAGTAAACAGATGCTCCCTGCTCAGTGTGACCAATGCCAGGAAATGAGAGTGGGAGGGCACCTATCCCAGCCTGGGTGGAGCAAGGATGAAGGAAGGCTTCCTGGAGGAGGTGCCTAAGGTGAGGCAAAGGTTTCAGCCCCTACTCTCCTTCCCGGCTGTGCCCTGGCACCTTGCCTACCTACCCCCTCTAACCAGAACTTCCTTCCCTCTCATTCTCACTCTTCCCACTTGTTGCAGATGAACTGGCACAAAGTAGTGCTGCTAAAGGTGTGCACCTTTGGCTGTACTGAGGGGTATGATCTGCAGGCCTCTGGCTACAAACCCAGTTTCATGAGTGCAGTGAGTAGATCCAGTTCCCTATGCAGGGCTGGCATTTGACCAGAATAAAGGCTTATGTAGTACAAACCTCAGAAGCCCAGGTATTAATTTGCACAGAGAAATACAACTGTCAGGCAGCCCTGAATTTTTGCATCAATAGCCCAAGGCAGTTTGGGCTGCTTCTTGAGAAGCCCAGTTACTGGAAGGTTAGCCCCATGAACTTGGAACCCCCAGGATGGGAAGAGGGGATGGTATGACAAGTCTCTCAGCCAAGAAACCTTGAGATCTTGTCCCCTGCCACAGGGGCAGCCTTGATTCTAAGGACTCAGTTCAGCCTAGTATCTCCACGGCCAGAGCCGGTATATATGTTTCCCCCAGATGCTTTTGGGACGCTCCTTTTCTATGATCTCTCTTCTGTTCACCTAGCCTCTCGCCAGGCTGGGTTTGACAATAGCAACTACTTTAGTGCTTGCTGAGTGCTAGACACTGTTGTAACCATTTTACCTTTATTGGCTCACAATACAGTTGATGGGATTTCTGCTCACCCAACTAGGGTCCTAGTCCAGCCCCACCCCCCTAAAATGTTCCCAGCCACCACCTTGATGGCCTTTAGTTGTTTCCCAAACACTTCAGTCACACATTTACAGATCAACCATCTTGGATTTACTCCCACATCTATTCTGGGTGGGTTTTTCTCTCGGGGGCCACCCTTATTTCCAGGTTCTTGGCAGAAACTCACTCTTCAGCCTCACAGAAATTTCCAGAACCCGTATCTTTCATTCCCTCCCTTCCAGGGACCCTCTTAAAGCCTAGGGGTAACAGAACCACTGGTCGCTAGTCTCAGAAAATTGCACTAACCTTTGTGGTTTTCCTACACCCTGCCCATTTCTTTGGAAAAAGTCCCTTTGTTAAATTATCCTCACATTATTCTAATTGGAGTGTGGTCTCTTTCCTGCTGGGACCCTGATTTGTGCACAGGAAACAGCATCCATCCCCCATCCAGGCATCTTACCTTTCCTCCTTTAGGAAGGAAGTCAGCAAGGGAGAACCGTGGCCAGTGGCTTCCCGGCTGGTGGCAGCATAGAGGACACACTGGACTATTACTGTAGTAATGCAGACAAGAGATAATGAGGGCCTGAGGTAGCGGAGGGGTAATGGGCTAGGGAGTAGTAACTCTGGGAGTTTATGGAGGTAGAATTAACAGAAATGGCAACCAACAAGATGTGGGTATTGAGGAAAAAGTCAATTCACATCTCGAAAGAATAGATTCTCGACTCCACTTCCCCCACCCTCATTTCTACTACTGCCTCATTTCTCTGCCTGCCTTTGCAGCAAAATTCCTCAAAACAGCCATCTCTGCTAGCTATGTACAATTTCTTTCCTCCCTTTCTCTTCTTAACCGCCTCTAGCCAGTCTTCCACCCTCACATTCCACTGAAACTATTCTTGTCAAGGTCATCAGTGACCTGTTATTCTCCGTCCTCCTCTTACTCAACCTCTCAGCAGCATTTGACCAGGTTGATCACCCCTTCCCCCTGGATACACTTTCTTCACTTGCACTGGGGAGACCGTAATCTCCTGGTCCCCCCTCTACCTCGCTGGTTCATCCTCTTCTCTCCAATAATTCTTAACACTAGAGTGACTACAGGAGAGTGATCCTCTTGTCTTTTCTATCCATATTCACTCCTTCGATGATCTCACCCAGGCTCATGGCTTCAAACACCATCTATCTGCCAATAACGCATTTTTTTTTTTTTTAATCTCCAGCCTAATTTCCCTAAAATTCCAGACTCCCATATCTTTCTCCTTGACATCTCCCCTTGGGTGTCTAATAGACAGCTCCAACCCAACATGTGCGAAATTGAATTTATGATCTTGCCCCCCAAACTTGTTCTACTTGGTAGCCTTCCCAATCTCAGGTGATGAGTACTTTCTTCCACTTGCTTGGGCCAAAACCTGGAGCCATCCCTGACTCTTCTCATCATCCTGGTACTCCTCTCTCACTGGCACCTCACTACTGCTCTCCTGGTCCCAGAAACCATCTTTCTCACCTGAATCACTGCAACAGCTTCCTAATGGTCTGTGTTTCCACTCCTGCCTCCTGACAGTCTCTTTTCAACACAGCAGTTAGAGTTATCCTTTTAAAACATAAGTTAGGGGTCTGGCCCAGTGGCGTAGTACTTAAGTTCGTGCGCTCTGCTTCAGTGACCCGGGGTTCATGGGTTCGGATCCCAGGCACGGACATATGCACTGCTCATCAAGCCATGCTGTGGCAGTGTCCCATATATAAAGTAGAGGAAGATGGGCACGGAGGGTAGCTCAGCAACAATCTTCCTCAAGCAAAAAGAGGAGGATTGGCAACAGATGTTAACTCAGGGCCAATCTTCCTCAGCAAAAAGAGGAGGATTGGCAACAGATGTTAACTCAGGGCCAATCTTCCTCACCAAAAAAAATAATAAAAATAAAAAATAAATAAAATAAACCTTAAGTTAGATGTCAGTCCTCTGCTCAAAACCCTTCAGTGTCCTCATCTCACTCACAAAAAAAGCCAAAGTCCTTATTACCTGGGCCTATGAGCCTCTGTTATCTGAGCATCCTTTCCTCCCCTCCTAGCCCACTCTGCTCCAGGCAAGATGGCTTTGTTACTCCTCTTCTGAGATGTCAGGCACATTCCTTTCTTAAGGCATTTGCACCATGTCCTCTTCCTGAAATGTTCTTCCCCCAGATACCCACATGGCTAAACCCCTATAAAATATCACCTTCTCAATAAGATCTATCCTGACATGCCCTATTTAAAATTACAGCCCTGGGGCCGGCCCCGTGGCTTAGCGGTTAAGTGTGGTTAAGTGCGCGCGCTCTGCTGCTCGTGGCCCGGGTTCGGATCCCGGGCGCACACCGACGCACCACTTCTCCAGCCATGCTGAGGCCGCGTCCCACGTACAGCAACTAGAAGGATGTGCATCTATGACATACAACTATCTACTGGGGTTTTGGAGGAAAAAAATAAATTAATTAAAACAATTAATAAAATAAAATAAAATTACAGCCCATCCTCTCCCCAAGCTCTCCTATATCCTGCTGTTTTGATTCATAACACTTATCACCTGCTAACATGTATAATTCACTTTATTATGTTTATCGTCTGGGGAGAAGGAAGTTAACCAAGAGTCCTGCTGCAGACATGTTGAGCAAGGGCTGAAGATGGAAGGGAGTGAGACTGGGGAAATAAGAAGGGTGGGGATGAAGTGAAAACTGGGGGAAGATACCTGTACCATATATAACTGGTTAAGGATTAATATCCAGAATATATAAAGATTCTTCTGTGGGGCTGGCCCTGTGGCATAGCCCTTATGTTCGTGCGTTCCGCTTTGGCGGCCCAGCGTTTGCCGGTTCAGATCTTGGTTGCAGACCTACGCACCACTCAGCTCATCAAGCCACGCTGAGGTGGCTTCCCATATAGAAGAACTATAACTCTACAACTATGATACACAACTATGTATGGGGCTTTGGGGAGGGGAAAAAAAAAGAAAAAGAGGAAGATTGGCAACAGATGTTAGCACAGGGCCAATCTCCCTCAAAAAAAAACAATTCTTCTGGATATATATATCCAG